TGGTAGTAGTTGGTCACTGCATGGCAAATGTAGTTTCTTCAACATGGCATATGTAGTTGACCAACCATGCCACACAGATTTGTTCACACTTGCCATCCACGGGTGTTTATACATTTCAATCACATTTGATCATGGATGGCAACCGTAGTTGTCCATGGATGGCAACCGCAGTTGTACATGGATGGCAACGGCAGTTGTATATACATGGCAACCGTAGTTGTCCAGGGATGGCAACTGCAGTTGTCTAGGGATGGCAACTGCAGTTGCCATCTATGTTCCTTCTGTTATTTCACCATCCACAACTTCACTTTTTATGGACTCACCTGCGTATGACGTCGATGGCAGGTACATGGTTGCCGCCTGATGCCATGTGCTGCATGAATGTCCTACATTTTTGCCGATATAACTCGTGAGTCTTTTTGTCATCCTTTACAAGTTTAATTTTCATGTCCACTACCAGTATGTTTCTTTTTCGTATGCATTACCTTGATTTGCCACGTTAGCTAGTTGAAGTTGGTTGCCCGTACATTTGTCAGTGTTAGCGCCCTGTGACTGATCTTGCCATGGTGGCCCCCTAAATGTGTTTTGGTCGTAAGAACCTGCGAAAAAATGAGATTGTAGGACATAAGTAGAATGCCATTTTCATTGTCGCGAACATGACAAAATGTTCTTTTCTTGTTATCATGGTTCATACCAATGCCTGCGTACTGCTCTAGTAGTGGCAGCAATGGCCCCGTAGAAATGAGTTGACTGTACTCTGCTGCATCCCAAGGGGCCGTTTCTGGCCTTTGAGAAACCCAAGAATCAGTGTCATCTTTGTGATTCATTCTTTTTCGCGTTTTGTTTCTACCGATGTGTTCTCAATCACTTCATGAACAAGAACGCATCAACAATCCACAAAAAATTCATTTTCTGTTGTTTGCATGTAGAAGATAACAAGGCAATCTTATCACATTTTCCTGCGTAGGCAACCAACACATCATGGAAAATAGGACATGCACATCCATTCTCTTTTTTGAAATCTGGGTGCCAACTATCATTTCGAATCAATGGCAACAACTACTTCAACAGGATGGCAAGCAACAGGGTAACATGGTGGCAGCTAGCGGCAACGATAGGCGGCAACTGATGTTAGACACAAGTGGCAACTATTTTTTCCTACCCTCCTTATGCCAAATTTCTCTTTTTCTCTCCCTTTTTAGGGATTCCTATGCATCCTTAATTACCAACTACTTGCACCAAACGAATCGAGAGCCTAAGTTTAACTCTAGCGTACTACATGGAAGATCTGGTGTTTGCTGCCTGGCAAACACGAACACACACAAAAAACGTGTAGTGTTTTTGCCCCGATAGATCTGGTGTATACTGTTCGAGGAGATCCAGTCGCCATCCTCATTGGTAGATTTGCAATTGGACTTCTAAATTCTGGCAGAAGAAGGATGAGAAACCGTGGTAGATCGGAGACCCACCTGCTTTTTAGTTGGTCGTCTCTGGAAGGCTGGGTTGAAGTGGGGGAGGGAGGGCGTGGTTAGCGGTGGGAAGACCCTACGGATCTGCTCTGGTTGCCATGGCAACCAGAGAAGGACGGCGATGGAGGTACGGGATCGAGAGGTGGGAGACGATGGCGGCAGTTTGGACTGGGGATCGAAAGGAGGCCGGGACGGCTGGGTCGTGCGGGCAGCGCGGGCGTCTGGCCCGGACGTGTGGGCTGTTTTGCCACATACCGGACGTGCGAGCTGTGGCTGCGCGCGCCCGGACGCGGTCGTGCAGGCGGGTTCTTCTCCAGGCCGCACGAGGCGTGCGGCATAACCCCCCGATACACCACACGTGTGGCCGTTATCGGCGTCCTATATTAAAATGTATATTGTTGGGGCTTCACAATATTTTTTTGGCGGATTGGGGCTCTGCTTATGCAAATTTGTTTTCTTAACACAGCTTAAGCAGATTTGTTGGCACAACTCTTCCAATATCAATTTTTTTGTTGGAGAAAGGGCATGTGTTGGAGATGCTCTTATATATATATATATATATATATATATATATATATATATATATATATTTGCAACTAGCACAGCACGACACATATCTCTTGTGGTTCAGGCTGTATTATACGTTTGCCCGAATCAGGACAACATCACGGCTATTTTTTACCTCTGCTTGGGATAGAACACATCACTGCCAATTATTTTGACATCACAAACATGCTACAGTCACCACAGTGTCTGAACTTTTAATAGAACATACTCCCTCCGGAACCCTCAAAAAAGAAAAAGAAAACATACTCCCACCGATCTTTTTTACTCTGCATATTATTTTTGGTGTTCATTGTAATACCATGATTGAAGATAAATAGGTTGAAAGTTTTACCCTAAAAAAAAGCATATCAGTGCATCCATACTTATCATGAACGTGGAGCAGAAGGTTGGAATAGCATCATGGAGTTGTTGTGCAGCCTATTTACCGTCCACACAACAGATCGTTTGTACTATGGCATAGTGTGGAGTAGTAATACCTTACGAGTTTTTTTAGCAATACGTAGTTTCTTTTCTAATTTTGAGGGGAAAACCAATTTTTTATTCATCAAAGACCACATGTTGTGGGATACATCTAGGGTCATGCGGTTGGCCATACTAGACATGACGCCCCGGTCCTAAAGAAAGAGAATACTTGGCTAAACTATGTGCTTTCAGATTGGATGCACGACGTTCAAAGACAAAATTACATTGAAGTAAAGCTGCTCGGTTTCTAATTTCACTAATGACTGCTCGATAGCTGCCACTGCTACCATGTTTGATATCGGTGATCACCTGTTTTGTGTCCGAAGAAATAACAAAGTGTTGAAGATGAAGATCCGCTGCCAGCAAAACGTAGTTTCTACTCATTATAATTTGTAGGGCACGCTACATGGGCCGCCCATCTAACACTGAAAGTGCCTTTCAGTTTTTTTCCTACTCTTTTTTTAGTAGGATTTCAACTGGTTTTCTGTCACCTTTTATTTCCTTTTTCCGTTCTATAGGTTTTTGGTTTCATTTTCATTTTCATGATTATTTTGAAGTACATGATTTGTTTTTGGAAAAATTTCCCATTTTAAAAATTCATGATTTTCACAAATTTATGGGAATTTAATTAAATCCATGACTTTTTCTTTGAAACCATGAATTGTTTTAAAAGTGAAAAAAATAAATTTAATTCATGAACATTTTTTAATATAGACAGACGTCTTATAGAATTCGTCACTAAATTTTCAAATCAGGACCATTTTTAAAATCATATACTTTTAAAAAGTCTTGAATATTTCTTCGCAACATATATTTATGAAATTAAAATGTAATAAGTTCGTTTTTTAGGATAATAAAAAATCAATGAAAAATCGGACATGAACGTAATGGTTTTTTTAGGCAACATTTTTTTTGAGACAATTATTTTAGGGAACATGAACCAGAACCTTGGTGCGCATAGCCGGAAAGCCTGACATGACATGGAGGAATTCACGCAGGTAGCGAAAATGGGCCGGCCCATAATTGCGTGGAAAGGCGGCACTGCCGGCGCACCGTCCCCGCCGCTACTCGCCCCACGTTCTGGTCAGCCGCATGCGCATCCATCCCCGCCGCCACTCGCCCCCGACGACCTCTTGCTCACCTCCACTGCACCCCTAGCGGCAGCCGTCATGGCGCCACCGGGCAACTCCGTCGACCTCAAGGGTGCAAAGAAATCGAACTCCAAGGATGAGAGAAAGCACAGGAAGGCGAAGCACGAGCGCCCTGCCGCCGACGAAGCGTCTCTCCGCAACGAGGCTAAGCGCAAGCGCAAGCACAAGGAGCACGGCGAGAAGCCAAGAAGGAGAATAAGGCTGAGGCTGAGATCGAGGCGGGGAGACGAGAGGATGAGGCGGACGATGGAGGACGAGCGGTTCGCGGCGGCGCGGACTGACCCCAGGTTCCGATCGATGCCGCGGAAGGAGGCCAAGGTGGCTCTGGACTCCAGGTTCTAAAGCATGCTGACGAACCCGATCTTTGCTTCGTCGGAGGCGCCGGTGGACACGCGCGGCAGGCGCCGCAAGAAGTGCGCCCGGGAGAAACCCATGTCGTATTACTATCTCAACCAAGACGAGGGAGTGAGAAGGAGGAGGAGAAGAAGAAGAAAGAGAAGCTCATTCGTGAAGAGGAGGATGATGAGCCGGAAGAGGATGAGCAAGATGATCAAGAAGAGAGTTCTAGTAGCGATGACGACGCAGAGGAGGACGAGGACGATGACCAGGTGATGTTTCCCTTCCAATTCCGTGATGCTATAAAGACTGCAGCCTTCTCCATTTTCTGCAATCATAATTGATAATCTATATGCTAGTATATGCTCCTGGTTTGTGAATAGGCGGTATTTTCTCTCCAATTGGAATTCTCAGTTTGCCAATAAAAAATAGGCTTTCGAATTCTTGGCAGAGAATAAAAGAACTTCCGTATGCTAATATCTTAAATATATATGGTCTGGTTTGTTATTTGTAAATACGTATTTACTGTGTGCTGTTTGATCCGATCTTTCATGTGGATAGAACAGATGCTGTTTCAATCCCACTTATGCAGGTTCAAGTTATGATGATTTTACAGATTGTGGTGTATGTTTGTGCTCTCTGAAGTGTTAATGTTAGTATTTCTTCTTGTAGAGCATGAAGTTTATCGATGGAAGCTTGGTAGAGACAGAGATATGCATGTTTCTTTAGCCATGCAATTCAAAGAACGATTTCTAAGTTCTAACTACAACTCTTGATCTTATATTCTGAATTTTTTGGCAATTTACTGCACAGTTAGTTTTACTGCCAGTACGGGCCTTATGTTATGTGTTCTTATTTTTAGCATATCCATATGGTTGCTAAATTATCTTCACAGGACACTTTGTTAGTTATATTTTTCTTGTCTTCAAGAGAGACATTTTTCTTGTATTATTTCTGTTTCCTTGAATTTTTTATTCTGCAGTACTCTGTCGGCAGTGGCATTGCTCATTACTTGATGGCGAGGCATGATGATACACCTATGATCGATAAGGAAACACACAGGCTTGCTGTTGTTAATATGGACTGGGATCATATTAAGGTGTGTACCAATTCATTAATTTCTATTATCTTGAGAAATAATCCTTTCTTCCTAAACAATTTCAGCCATGTTAAAAGGCAATTTTATTATTTTAGTTTCTTGAGAATCACTTGAAAGAATGTGTTTGATCTTTGATGCCAACATGTTTCTTTTCAGTAAGGCTAACATGCATTGCTGTACTGTTTTTGCATTTTGCGTATTTATGACAGACTTATAAAACTTCTAGGGGCTGTTTGGATCGCAATTTTCTTAATAGATTCTGGTAAACCAGTAGCAGTTCTGAAAAGAAGAAACTTAATATATAACCTCACAACATCAGTTCAAACTTACCACTGACGACCTGTTCGGGCAGGGGGTCTGAATTCGAGCCCTTAGGGTGGAACTAAAGTCTATAACTTTGAAAGCAATCCCATCACTCAAAACACACATGTAATGCTTGTTTTTGCATTCAAATATGCTCATTATTTTGTTTGGTTAAGTATTAAAGCACTTCCTGTGATTTTTATAGCAACCCAACAAAATATTTTGATACTTAATAATCCAAATCTAACTTAACGATACCCTGTTTTGCTAAAACTGAAGATCCAAACAAAATAACCCCTACTCATCCTTGGGTTCAATATAGTATTCCTTTGTTTTGCCCCCGTCAACAGGCAGTGGACTTGTATATGGGGATGACATCTTGCGTCCCGAAAGGTGGGCGAGTTCTATCAGTTTCGATATATCCATCAGAATTTGGACTGGAGTGCATGAATATTGAGAGAACACAAGGCCCATCTGCTCTTCTTGGTGCCGATGAGGATGATGGTGGTGATGGTGGGGAAAACGATAACAACGAGGATGAAGATGACAACAATGATGATGTTGATGACGAATACGATAGTGAACATGACTCTGAGACCGAGAACAGGCTGCGTGCTTATGAGCTAAACAGACTGAGGTTACCAACAAGGCACAGAGATACTTTTGCTGATTATTATGTCGTTTATTTATCTGTTTTTCTGGGACTTACTGAGTAGACTTTGCATGATTTTTTTAACCATCGTCCATAATCTTCACGTAACTTAAGTATTAAAATGTTCAAATCCTATCCGCAAATGTAACTATGGTGGCTTCTGCTTCACATGTTTGGGGTTGCATGCATATGTCCAAATAGCCTTGTCCATCCATCTTTCATATGACCCATATGAAAATGTTACTGCTTGCCAAGGGTTGCCCAGTAAGCTCTCTGATGATTATGTGGGTCTTGCTGCAGGTACTACTATGCAGTTGTTGTGTGTGATTCCAGTGCAACTGCGAATCACCTATACACAACTCTTGATGGTACTGAGTTCTTGAAAACGGCAAATGTGTACGATTTGCAGTTTATTCCTGACTCTATGGAGTTCAAGCATGCTGCTTGTGGTGTAGCTACAGAGGTACCTTACTTGGATAGATTGTATCTGCATCTATATTTGTTGCTGGGCATATTAAACTATTGGCACTTGCCAACATCAAAGTTTCTTCCCATATTGCTTTGCAAAGTTATGATGCTATTTGGGCACAAGTTGCCTTTTACTTGTGTTAAAAGAGATCTTTTCAGTCCGGTACTTGTTTGACTTCATGCAGGCACCTCCTACTTACAAGGAGCCTGATTTTGAAACTCCTGCTTTGCAACCAAGCAAAGTTGAGCTCACCTGGGATGACGATGAACCAGATCATAAGATCATCTTGAGGTGGAAGTTCAAAGAGGATCAGGTCAGCTCATTTCGTTTGCTGACTGGAAACTGAAAATCAGTTCCTCGTTGACTTTATAAATGTCAAGGGAGGAAAACCCAGTGTCAAGATAAGCACTACTGAATAATAAAGGAGGAAATGCAGTTTCATTTATACTAGTGAATATATATTCTTGGAACAGCTGGAGTTCTAATACAGTATCATGGTAGACACTTGTATTTTTTTCGTAAATCTTCTTTCAACAGCTGTGAGTTGTACACTTGTTGTTCTTACAAAATCAAATAACTTGATAATGGTGCCATGCATTTTTCTACCCTTCTGTCTCATGAAAAATTTCAATCTGTCGGTCATCGTTTCTTGTCCAGCTTGTCTGTTTTTCCATCTTTGACGACTTCAATTTTTTCTGTTGCAGTTAGATGGCCCTGGTATATACTCGTATTTAGCAAGTGATGACAGTGCATCAGATGATGATCTAGACGACTCTGGTGATGAGTCTCTGCCAAATGGTGTAGCGAAAAGAAAGTTAATAAACAAGGAAAGGTTGGCTCTTTTACTACAAGGAGATAAATCTGACGAGGAACAAAGTGATGACCAGGGCATGGAGATAACATTCAACATGGAACCCGAGGACCTCAGCAAGCGTATCCTTGAGAGAAAGAGCACCGAGACGAAGACTGTCTGGGAGACGCACCAAGAAAAAACGAAGGAGAAGCGGAAAGCTAGGAAGAGGTCGTCAAAGGATGATGATGACTACAGTGACGAAGATAGCGCTGATGAAAATGATGATTTCTTTGAGGATGAAAAGGCTGATGAAGAAGTTAGGCCAATCAAGAAACAGAAGGTGAAGACCAAAGGGAAAGCAAAGGACAAGCTTCCAGAGGAACATTTTGAGCCAGAAGCAACTAAAGAAGAGTTGGAGCTCTTGGTTGCTGCTGACCAGGATGCAGCCAATGGTGCAAAGGGTTGTAACATAGAACGCAGGAGTAAGAAGGGCAAGGATTGTGTCGAGGACAAACTTCCTGAAATCGATATTAGCACAGATGACTCGAGGTTCTCAGCCACGTTGACGAATCATCTGTATGCATTGGATCCTACTGATCCCAAGTACAAGAGGTATCACCTAGTGCTCATTTCCCTATCCTGCTAGTGTATAATCTGCTTGACCTCCATAGTGTTGGTTTATGCTTACTGTGAATGGTTTTGTACAGGAGTGCCACCTTCATGAGAAAACAAGCTAGGAAGAAGGGTGCGCATGCAGATGCAGGAACATTGGACAGTGAACCACCTGTGGAGGAATCACCTCTGGGGAATCTAGATGATGCATCTTGTAAGAAGACACGGAAACACGATGGGGCGCGCTCCACGGAGAAACTGCAGATGCTGTCTACTGTCAATTCTCTCAAAAGGAACCTTACCGGGTTCAAGAAAGCAAGCTAGAGTGATCGATAGAGAAGCTGTTTTGTTTTGCTCTGATACATCTTTTTTTCCTTTTGGTTGAAATGCATCTGAAGTCAGAAGATGGATTTGTACTAGAATAGCTTGAAGGTTTGGTGTTTATGCGCCTGCTGCTGATGTGCCATTTTTTCTGTTATGAGAGCACAATGATCCAGTTGGAAAAAAATTATAATGTTAAGCTAGGTAGATAATTAATGTATCTTCATTTACAACAAGTTACTGCAAGGGTTTCATTTACTGGCTAAATGTTTTTTGTGAAAAACTGTGTATCCTCTGGCACTTGCACATGTTACAGCTTAGTCATTTGCTGTGCCCTTCGCTGCTCCGGAAATCATCCTGATCCATACCATTTTTCATTTTCCCCTTGAATATATATTCACCCTACGAAGCCCCAGATCAAACAGCTCTGGACTGCAACACACAGTTCACAGCGTTGATGTTTACGGGCTGTTTTTTTTTAAGCAAAGTATACATATTTCCTTATTTTCTCAGAGTTACTTCTAGTATTATTTGAGTCCTTTTCTGATTTACTGATTACTTCCTTATTTGATTTACTGTTTACTTATTTGATTATTTGGACCTACATGCCACGTTTCGGCTGGTTTGCACCTTAACTTTTTTCTTTTAGCATGCATAGAGTAAGGTTCATTTTAAGCCTTTAACTTGTAGAGGTTAGGTAATGCTAATATTAAGCTTTGATTCCCTAAAATTAGCACTCTGAACCATCAAATCCTAGTCTAATTTGAACCTTGTGGCCGTTTGAGATCGCTGACGTGCTACAATCTTCTGGGTTGCTGTTTTTTTCTCCTTGTCCGTTCTGACTGATTTCTGTGCAGACAATTGAACATACCAGTGCATGTGGGTATGTTGAATGATATGATTGGCCGCTGATGATGTTTCTTACTGATCTGATTGATGGTTTGTGCGATGAAGTTTGGGAGCTGCATTCTTAAGAAAATGTGCCTCGCTCTGAAGAACAGACAGGAAGAGAAGAGCTTGTTGTTGATCTGCAAGATCAACTGACAGAGAAGAATGAAGAGATTGCTGCTATTGGGGGGCAGACAGATATGGGAGAAGAGAGATGATAATGTTGTACATATAGCAAAAATATTTCTGGCATTTTCATAGCAATGTAACAGCAAATATTCTGGCATTTCCATAGACGTGGGACAACATTTGCAACATAAAAACAGCACAATTTCATCTTAGACAACAATAACATGTGAAACAGGAATAGGTTGGCACTGAAGATGCATCGTTTCCCCTTTTTGCCCCTCTTCATCTCTCTCTGACAGCAGATGTTGATTTGGGACTGAAGATGGTACAACATCGACAGTTGCAAATCTGTTTGTTTTCAGGAGGTTTAAACTTGTTAGCTTGTGCAGGCAGGCATTGAAGATGTAGCAGTTTGAGATGTGTTGCTGCTGCTAGAGTCTGAGAGGGTGTCGTTGCTGGGGCAGGGCAAGTGCACTAGTTTGTGCTGAAAAGCTATATATAAATTCAGCAAAAAGGCAATTTAATAAGTTAAATTCAGGGAAATGTTGTAATATTCAGACACAATGCTCTAATTTGTGTGAAATGGTCATATATTCAGTTAACTGCTCTAAGATCTTTATAATTCATTAAAACCTTTAAAATCCATAAAAATATGTAAATTAAGGAAAATGCTCCAACATCGCAATTTTTGTGTTGATTTTTTACACTACATGACAACTTTCACCGTAGAATATGGCAAATCCTTATACACAAGCATGACAATTTTATTTCTTTTCGCATGGCAAATCTAATCGTCAGATTTTTAACAAAAATCCGACATCAGATTTTTAACATTTCCGAAGATTTATAAGTGGTGAAGAAACTGAGAAAGCACATGTTACGACAGAGAGAGAAAAACTTACAGAAATATGTACAAGGTTAAAAACAGTCTGATTGTTCTTATTGTACTAGTCAGAAATATGTACTGGTTCTATCAGAACTATCAGAATCCTAGAGAAAACAACATACCTGATGTATGCATGTATGTATCACGATGCAAGTTGCCTGAACAAATTTCCACTAAATACCAGAGCTCGAAACCACTTATTTGAGACAAACCTGCAGAGTAGGGATTAGACATAATGAGTTTAAGCACTTAGTAATGGTACGTCTAACAAACCAATGAACACACCATTTGTTCTAATCTCCATGGTTTCAATCTGAAGAATCATACTTTCTTTCTGTTGCAATCTGCGCGGTCAGATAAGTCGACGGTTGAAATCTACCATGCCAACTGTGAAGCTGCGGCTGTCAGAAAAGGGTAGTAGGGCCACGATGTCCTATCCCACATGATTAAAGTATGTTTTTTTTGAACGGTCACCGGGGGGGAGAGCTTCCCCACCTGAATATATTACCACTCAAAAGAGGTGTCGAGAATTACAGCAGCAGTTCGGTTACAACATCAACTTTAGGGGATTGCTGAAGAGAGAAAGTTAAGCCATTGCCTAGTAGAGATATTGCCTTCTTTCTTTTTGAACCGGAAAACCCAGAGGGAGAAATCTGCTACAATATTTCTTATCGTAGTTCTGTGGGAGTGATCCTCGTTTCTGAACACGAGAGCGTTTCTCGAATCCCATAGCTTCCATGAAACAGTCAGAGCCACTGATGGCCAGATGTTGGGGTTGAGGCCCAGAATCGTTGGGTGTTGGTGGAGAGCAGCAAGGGAGGTTGGAGCCGGCAGACCCAAGGAAGACCAAACCTGTGTCGCATAAGAACAGTTGGAGATGAGATGGAGAGCATCCTCATTCGGGTCTTGACAACGAGGGCATGCTGCTGATTGGGCAATGTGCTTGTGAAACATGTTGGCTTTTGTGTTTAGCCGATCACGGAGGAGAAGCCATGCGAAGATCTTGACCTTGATCGGAACCTTGGAAGCCCCGACAAAGTCATGGTGAGGGTTGAAGGAATCCTCAGCAACAATGGAGGAGTAGGCGTTCTTGGCAGAGAACGACAGCCCATGGGTGAGGGACCGTTCGTCGGATCGGTCCACCTGCTGGAAATCCTGCAACAGCAACAGCACACAATCCAACTCGCGAGCAGCAGCATTAGACAGACGGTTCCGCAGGTTCGCTAATAAGCAGTTTATTCTTCATAGAACACGCAATATGATAAGGAGCACCAACCAAGATCAGCATTAATTGCGGCCAGCCACTGAGCGCCAAGCTGCCAATCGATGCAGCACCAAAGGCACCGATCCATTACTTTGTCGAATCTCCAAACCTTAATGCTGGCATGTATTCAGATACCACCATCAGAAACCAAGAACATCCGATAAGATGTTTCTAATCAATTTACATACGAAAGAACACCACTAGAAAAATACCTGATATGCATATACCAGCAGTATACAGTGAAAGGATGACTGCAGGATCTAGGCTGCCTTCGATAGCAGCCCATCCTAACAAAGCTCCCCACCCAGTTGAAGGTCAAGCCAAGATATGCCAGAGGCTATTAAAATTTGCATCGGAAGTAATTCAAGTGATCACTCTATGTAATCAAAACTATGGTTGTAAAACCTTCTACGTGTGTATTACATACCTAAAATGTGAACCTCTTCATCAGGGGATAAGAAAGCACCCTAGAAGTACCGGAGAAATAACAACAACACTTTCGCTTGGTTGTGGAAGGAATTTACAAGCTAAAGTGAGCATAGATCCAGAAAATACACATGGTTACTTAATTCTAGACAACGTTGCTATAAATATTACAAAGCCCACCAATAAAACGGAAGCACTGGTACACAAAAGGAGCACAACAGTATCCGACCAACTGCAAGACATTAGTAATAAATAAACATCCCTACATGGCACAACTTGAAAATAATATTTCAAAAATAGAATTATGCCTACAATATGAGAAGTTCATTGCTTCTGCATACAACAACAAAGAAAATAAATAATTCGTAAGTTAGCTTAAAAATAGAAACACCCTCACATGCATCAGACACTTACCATAATTATGATGTCAATTCCTCTGCCTAAAACAAAAAAAATGTACCAAGCATATATGCACAAACAACATGTTGAACAATGAGAGTACATACCTTCCAGAATTTAACATTCTTGACATCTCAAAAGTAACTTGTTTGTCCCGATGAAAACAAGGTTTTTAATACCATTTCATCACCAAACAAGACGAAATTAACATGCCAAGACAATTAAAAAACATCAATGTTCAATAACTGCACGCAAGTTCATAGAATTCTTCTTTATACATCATTTCATCCAGAGGAGAACTCGCCGAGTTGATCAATCCATCCTTCATGCTCTGGAGAAGAAATTAAGTCGATGACGACTTCATCTTTTTTGTCAAATATCCAAGAACTGGGACCGACATTCCCCTCTGTCATCTACCCGAGCACATTCTTCACCATGGAAGAATATGTGATGTTAGATCAACCATCAACCTTTTGCTTCTTTATTGGGGATTCTTCGGTAGGCGGTCCACTAACCTCGTCTGCAGGTTTTTCCTAACACCCAAGAATTGTACGGGGGGCATAGGCATATGTACAAAGCTACAGACACCTAAGAGAGAACCCTCCACAAGGAAGCTGGAGGATGATTGTGGATCTGAAGACATACATGCTTCCATGGTGAAGCATGTGTCTAGGTATATGATAGAGGAAAATGTAAGTATGTTTCTACGACATTTGACAAGGGCGCAAATGTTATTTACTTAAGTTCCTTTCGGAAACGAAAAGTAAGGATAGATCAGCTTGATCAAGGTCTCCGCTGGACGAAATAAAGGATTAAATTACAGACAATTATTTTCTTATATAGTAAAAAAAGTATACACTATTTCAGTGTGTTTTCTTGCAATTATTGTAATTAGATATTTTCTTATTGTCTTGTCATTATTTTGTAGTGTTTGGTGACATCATGGTCACAAGGCGGCAGCTTTACCACTGCGCCAAGGCTGCCCTTCCGTTTGGTGATGAAATGCTATAA